ATTTCACACTTCTAGTTTGAAGAAGTTAGGGCCCAGCACGAAGGCGCATATGAAGTGCTATGAGAAAGAGAAGTGTTTTAGATCAATCTTAGTGCTAGTTGGTTTTATTCCCCATGTTGGTATGACTTAACAGGCACCCGGGCGATTCTATCGTCGGCAAGTCAGGCGACGCCGCACACGCCGCGACGCGGCAATCCCGGAGTTGCATTACCGTACTCCCGAGTTGTCATTGGCCACAGCAAGCTGTGCCTCTTTCAAATTGTTAAAGGGATCGTCGACCCTTTAACAATTTGAACGCCACGCAACAAAACTCGTACGCGGCGGCCGCCACGCCGCCTCGCTCCGCCCACCGGCGCGACGACCCGACGATAGAATCACCACACACCCGACTTAACATTACCTGAAAAATGTACGAGCGCACACGACTCCCAACGCCTTCTACTTCATCTTCACCGTTCTGGCTCCTCTAACGGTCAAATCGGGAATGAGGAACCGTCACCGATGCTGGATAAAACACGCTTCAAAACTATCTGCAGCAGGAGATCAATCGGTCTCTTACGTGGAAGTTTAGCTTGGATGTTGCGTACGCCCCCGCATGCTCGGTACTCACTTCATTCTAACTAACTAACTCCCGCCCAAAAGGTAAGGGATGTGGAATGGTCAATGTCAAAAGTTTCCGATACCCTAATAACTAGAAGTTACTCACTTTGGTAGATAAGCTGGGTACGGTCGCATTCCCTGATCGAGATCCATGATCCTCACATGCGGTCCTCGCATACCGAGTAGTAGAAAGAAAGTGAGTGTTTCTGAATGAATTCAAGCGTGACGTCATCCATGTTTTGACGTTGATTAGTGTAGACTGTGGCCGACATTGCTGTGCCAGTACCCAGCGATATCGCTTTGAAGTTCTACCAATACCAGTGAAATTTTTATTCCGTGCATGTCTGCTTCTGGATAAGGTGGCTACTTTTCTCTTTTAGAGATCCTGTGAGGGACATGTGCATGGTGAACGCAAGTAACCCAGCTCTCGTTAACAACCAAGATGTCGCACGAAAAGTCCTTCCATTGCGTACAAAGAAGAGAAACCCAGTCACGACCATCCGGTGCGCTTTGTCAGGCTGGTGCAGCTCATATGGCATACCTCACAGAAAATTCTCCCAGGTTTCGCGGAGAAGCATGATAGTTTTCACTTAGGTGCAGTCTAAAGATGTTGCCGGAGTACTGGTGGTTGTGCTCGACTACACCAGCGGGAGGTTTAATAAACGGCCGTCGTTTTGTGCTGGTGACCAACTTATACGTTGCCTACCTTCCAATTAAATAGTTCTAGCTTGCAGGTAATAATACAAACGGGACACTCTGCCGTGACAAGCGACATTCTTCCTGAAAGCAACGCAGGTGTTGGCTACCTCGACTACGGCGGAGTGGCCCTACAGGAACTCATGGTATAGGTCGAAAAGTACCTTGACCTTTGAGGGACTTTTAGGCTTTGAAAACTTCCACAAAGTCATGATATACCCATGTGCAGAAACCTCAGAGGACATTCTCCACTAATCAGGGATGAAAACATTCAAAATGATTTTTTTTTCTAGAGCAGTTCAATCGAAGTGTCAGGACTTTCTTTCCAACCTAATAGTACTTTTGCATCGTTTTGATTCGTTCTTTCTCCGGAAGTCCTATCAGTTATCGGTACTTCTTCGCCGTTGAGATCAATGCGGACTTTCGGAATCAATACATTCGTGGGACCGTATGGAAGATGCCTTCCCGTTCTAATGTATCATTAATCCATGTTCATCATGTCACTGTATGAACCCTCTCACTCTCTTTCTTTCTTTCTTTCTTTCTTTCTTTCTTTCTTTCTCTCTCTCTCTCTCTCTCTCTCTCTCTCTCTCTGAGAGGCAGGAGAGAGATGGACACGGCGAGAGGAGGATTGTAGAAGTCTTTCCGTCGTCCTCAGTACTTTCAGACGTACCCGTCCTTAGAACCTGTGTGCTCTGAGCAGGCGGCTTCCTAGGTGTCGGCCCCTCAGAGCAAAGACTTGTCGTCGTAGTGCCTAGAAAAGTTGATCCGATCCTTCTCCAGATGAGCGGGCTCACTTCAGAAAGCAACCTTCGAAGAGAAGCAAGCATCAGTCAACTCAGCGGTCAAATGTAGGCCGAGTTCGTGTATAGGAGCATAGAAAAATAGTACAGTAAATCTGACTGTAGGTCGAAATGCAATAATAGATCAGCTTTGTGTCAATTGTTCTGCTGTATAGTAAAGCTGACAGACTAACCACCATTTCTGCCTACTTCTGAGGAGCGATGCAGATCATAATGTGCTGAGACTGAAAATAGTCCATGTTCATTTTCCATTGGTTACCTCTTTTTTTTGATTCTTTGCTCTCGTTTAAAGGAGAGAGATGGACGATGGACCTATGTTCCGACTGAGGAGGACAGGCGACAGGTGATGTCAATGAATGAAAAAGATCGAGAACAAGAAATCTTCAATCGAATGGAGCAGCAAGAAATGAGGAGGACTAGGTTTGTCTTATTTTCCCTATGGTAATAGATTTTGGATGTTTTTTCATTATTTCCTCATGCAGACAGGCCCGCGGTTGCATACTATGGACAGATGAGTTCAGTTACGAACCTGTAGTCGCTAAATGACTCTATAGGGAAGAAAGAAGCGAACAGAGATTGTGGAGTATACCTTAAGTAAGGACCCTTGGCAGCCTTCGGCGAGTCCTCGAAAACTGCTGGTTTTATGCCAGCAAGACGATACCACTAACCTCTGGCCACTAACCGTTTCTTCGAATGCTATGCCATATAGCAGTGGAAAAAAGAAAAAAAAAACACGGTTTAGAACTGAATTCGTGACGGGAAACTTCGAGTTTCGTGTGGCAACTAGAGTGGCGTTAAACTGCCCCTCATAAGGTCGCAGCTCCTTTGTTACATTCTGTGAAATCGAGAAAGTGAGACAGTCTTAGCGACAGCTGGTAGCTGGATAGCTGATGAACCAGACTGAATAAGGAAAGCCGTAAGAATTGACTTGGGCACGAGTTGGTCCTTCTTTTTCCCATTTCCCTGCTTTCTCTCCATTCCACCGTTGGCACAGAAACCAACATTCATTTGCCCCACGTTTTGACCGTTTTGAGAGGTGGATGAACCGATGGGCGAATTGTAATTTTCAGGAAGCAAATTGAAGAAAAGTTGGCTGCAGCGAAAAACGCATCATCTACAGTCGGAGATAAGAAGGAGAAAAAAGAGAAGCGCAAGCGTGATGAAAAGAAACGGATAAACGATGCTGATAGTGATGACGGTTTGTTCCTTTGGCATATTGTAATCTAACTATAGGAATTGAATTACTTCATGTTTTCAATGTTTTCCATCTGTATGCTCGACTTGACCTTTGTTGAAGTCATGAATATAGGAAAGCCTCAACCGTCGCGATCGAAAGAGCAATCAGGATCAAAATCGAAAGCCGCCGTTGTGTCTGAATCAGAATCTGAAGCAGACATGAAGTTTCATCGTCCGTCTGAAATCCATAAAAAGGCCACCCAGAAAAACGCTATGGCAGATTTGCTTGCTAAACGGAAAGATAAGGAAAATAAAGCTGGTAGGCGTTTTCCTGTTATTATTTACGCTTTCTCTATCAAACTGTTGCTGTTATAGCGAAAAAGGCAGCGCTATCCATCGACGCTGTGTTCGGAAAGGATGATAGTGATGGTTCTTCATCTTCGTCGTCATCATCTTCGTCGACGGCGTCATCTCGGTCATCTTCTCGTGAATCATCACCGAGAAGAGAAGCCGAAAGCGAGGATGAAGAAGAGAAGAAGGCGGCAAGAAGAGAGGTAATCGTATTTCGGATTGAGAGTGGTCGTGGATTTCACTTTTTCAGGTGGAGACCGTGCAGGAACTATCAAGAGCTCGTATGTCGCGCTACAAAATGGCTAAAATTGTATACGCTCCTTTCTTCGCCAAAACTGTGATAGGATGTTTTGTTCGAATTGGTCTTGGTGGATATGGAGGAAAATCTAGAAAGCCGATTAGTGCTCGTTTTGGCTGAATTTGCATCACGGCTGTCGCGTGTACTGGGGCAGCGAAAGAGGGAGACTTTACTTCGTCTATTTATATCAACAGTCGATAGAGTTTCCTGTCACCCACCATTAATACTCCATCACGACTCTGAAATTACTGAAAACAAGTCCTACGGTTTAGCTCGAGTTTTGTGGTGCTCCCATTCTAACGCCTTTTATCAGCTTTTATCACTCGCTATCACTTCCTGTTAGCTATCATAACGTCAGTGTCATGCCATCTTTATCCCGTACTAATTTGACTCTCTGCGGCGCGCATACGCCCGCCTACTTACGTACGCACGCGTACGACTACTGGGATTCAGTTCGCGGCACCCATGGTGTGGCATCGCACTCTTCTAGCATTCTCACACTGTTCCACATGTGCTATTTACCCCCCGCCCTCGATGAGGAAGGACAGGGGGCGGAGGGGGAGGGGGTCGTACCAACTCCCAAAAAAGGGGGGGGGTCGTATAGATTCGACTAAAATCCCCAACCAGTGATGTGCCCTGAAGCTAATCAACCAGGAAATGCTCTCTCCCAGAACCGTACAGCACGAAGATTTCTTATTTTATGAACTGAGGGAAAGATTAAGAGGGCTCTGACTAACAGTTCTATAGACTGGAGTGCGAAATATGCGCGGAAATGGATCACAAGCGTCCTCAGTAGATTTTTGATGTCGAAAAAAGAACGGAAAAATCAATCGGTCGAATTCCGATATATCGTGTTTGCTGTCATCAACCCTAATTTTTAGCTCTCACAAGTTGTGGACGTGGTCGAAACGAACAAGGTGTATGTTTTCGAGAATCTCAAAACGAACAAAGGTCTAAAGTTGAAATACGGTACGTCTATATCGAACAGTATTTTGTTCTTTGTGTGGTCGTTTATAAATATCGCTTATTCTTATTTAGGTACTGATGAGCGGGTATTCCGCATTGAGTTTGTTTCCAATGCTCAGTTTGGCGAGGAGGAGTTCTCTGAATGGAGGGCGGTTACAAAAGAGGAGGTGTGGAAATCTGGCAATGCTACAGCACCGACTGAAAACTGCAGAGGAAAATGTAGCGCTAATTTATTTGTACGCTAAACAGAGCTTTTTTCAGTGTGGGTCCTTGCCAACTATGGATCACATAGAGAAAAAGGAACTGGACATTAGGAAGGCGATGAATTTCAACTATACCGATGAAGTTATTGAATATGTAGGTCCCTATGTGAAAAAGCAGCGAATCAAATGTTGCTTCAATCAGAGCTAAGATCTAATTCATTTTTTTAAACAGATTGTGAAAGAGAAGAAAAAGTTTTCCGACAAAGTAAAGAACTTTGCGTTTACAAAGGGAGAACTCATGAAAAAGAAGGTGAGTTGTTTTCTAATTGTTGGCCAATTTTATTTCGTTTATACTTTGCTGAAAGCATCGTCATTTCGTATCACCTCATCATCATGTTTTCACATTCATTTCGTCGGCTGTAAAACTCACTAGCTGCATTAGCACTGTTCGTTTTATGGAGCTATGGAGCAACCCGTTATTCCATTGTGTTTGAATTTGGGTGTTTGTTTTGCTGAACGTTTTCATCCGCTTCCAGTTCTGCCCAAATTTTGATAAAAAAAATATCAGTGCCAACGAGAATGGGGACCTATAAGTGATTTGGGCGCTGCCTGTTTCTGTGCGCTCTTTCAAGAACCGAGGTATTCACAAAAGTTGGCATCCGACTCCCTACGGAATTTCCAACGGAGACCTAGTTAATTCGATAGAGTATGGAGTGTTGATTACAAATATAGAGGCCGAATTGCTAGGTGATCTTCGCAGGCCACTTACGGGCGCTCAACTATTGCTGGAAACGCAGTGGTGACATTTCAGCAGGATTAAGCCATCAGCACGGAATGATAGTGCCTGCATGACTTACAGCTGAGGCTTTCGTTCTGCTATCGGTAAGGGTGGGTTTGCTCTCCGTCAGCGTAAAGTTTTTGCCTTATGTCCAAAATAAACTTCCGTTTGGTTCTAGCCATCCCCTCAATCTAGCCCCTTGCAAAGCGAGTAGGTCAGGAGTTTGACCTGGAAAATTAAAAAAAAGACCTGGGCACTGCTCGTTCTTTACGAAGCACCTTCTGAAATTTGGGTCCACCTTGATTTGATTGGAGCAATGTTTCAGTCAATCGGAACGTGGCCCTGAAGTTGAAAAAAACCCAGGTGCGGAAGTTAAAAAACCCAGGTGCGAGGAGGGCTTGATTTATGCAACGTGAATATCACGTCGCTTTGAACTGCTACGCCTCAGACGCGTTGAAGGCTCTGGTGCCAACGTCGGCGCTGACGCGGGCGTTTCCACGACATATTGTAATCACATTCAAGATGTCAAACTACTCCGGGAGACCAGTTTGTGGCGAACTCTTGGCGGGTGGAGTTGATTGGTTCCTAAAATGTGATAGAACTCTACGGCTCAGTATGAACATCACTTCTCAAATTATCTTTACCTGCGTAGTTCTGCGAGCACTTAGTGGTAGGGGTGAAAATGTTTTAATGAAAACTAGTCGCTTTGTTGTCGCGCTGAAGAAACGCTGATTATACCTCCGTTTTATGGCCAAAGCGTGGGGCAATTCTCCGGCACCAACGGGGAGCAATCCAGTGCTGTTTCCTGTGTTATGGGCGCCTTACCAGTAGGCCCCGACGACGCTATTATTCAAATGGCTACTTCTGCGGAAATAGGGCTCCACCAAGATCCGAGCAACTTTGAATAGCTTCGCATCGCCTGTCACATTCTGTTATCGAGTCAAATTTTGGGCTTTTATTTGTAATCGAGCATTTCGGGTTCCATCATTTCAACAAAATCTCCGTTTGAAGTTCCGTGGGAAGCTAGAGGTCATACCTAATAGGTTCAATGCCTGTTTCTGATACGGTAGCGCGTGCTCTACCCGCTGTAAAGCTGACCGGGCCTTCCATGATCTTTTCAGAGAATGCTGCATTTTCGCGAACTTACAGACAAACAGATAGACAACTAAAGTAGGCGTAGGGCTTCATTTCGAGGGAGGGGGATGGGGGGGACAGAGAGACTGCCGCTGTGTTCCAGTTATGACATCCCAATCACTTGATCACAAGACACTCATGCACTTTTTCTACATTCTGTTTTTCCACTAACCTCTGCGGTTCTCTACATTCCTTTCATCGCCTTGCCATTCCTTGCGACTATTTTTAAATATATTATTTCAAAATTGGCAATTACTTAACGTATTCTGGAATTGGTTTTTCGTTTTCGGGCGTTTCCAAACGGACAGTTCTAGGAGAAAACAGAAGTGCAACATTCCTGCCAGCTCGTTCTGTATTTACTGCTTTCATGGCTGGCGAGACTGTAAATAACACGGCAGATTTCTACTAACTTCTCAGTTATTTTCATTTACCAGTCGGCTCGCCGGCTAACGCCGGCGCGCCTCCTTCTCATACGGCCGGCTGTGCCGGGCGGGCGTGGCTTCGCCGCGCGTATTTTCTTTCACATATTTCTAGACTCAACTGATATCCGCCTTTTGTTCTGTACTCCACTTTTTTTCCGGTGTCTGAAGTACTCTGACATTTTACAGATTATTCGTCTGGCTCCGCCCACCTCGGGCTGGCTCCGCCCACAATATGTATAGCCCACATTTTTTGATCGGCGACGCCTTGCTGACCTGAATTGACTTTATTCCGGTCTCCGGAGTGCTTGGGACCGTTTTGCAGATCTTTTGTCTGTCCGCCCACCTCGAAGTCACGCTCCGCGCCCACCTCGGAGGCAAGGCCTCCGGCCCACAATGTTTTTGCCCCACAATCCTCACCGGCGACCCTCTGCTGACCTTAGTCCACTTTTTTTTTCCGGTGTCTGGAGTGTTCTGGAACCGGAGGCTAACACAAACTTTTAAAATGAATATCCTGCGATTTAGGGCAAGCTCTCGTTTAGGGCAAGCGCCGCCCACTGTGTTCGGGTCTCAACACACTTTGCGCATGCCCTATATTCGCCAGATATTTACATTCTACACTGAGTTTTTGCGACTTCCAAACTCTCGCGAACCGGGTTACTGAATTTTGCGAGAAGCACCGCCCACCTTGAGTACGCCCCGCCCATTTTTGGATGTGTCTGCCACAGTTAGTCTGGCGACTCCTTACTAACCTTATTCCCTTTTTTCCCCATCTTTAAGCTGCTCCGGAAGCGAATTATGAACATTTTTCTGCGGAACCCCAAACTTTCGGCGAGTGCCCCGCCCACTGTGGGCGGGGCTTCCCATAGGTCGAGATGTGCTTTTTATTTCTTGTCCCATGCTCTACCCATCCCCACCTTGACCCGACCTCTCCAAGTCGTTCTTCAGGTCGAACCGAATTTCCGGACAGACAAACAAACTTGCAAATTCGCAAACAAGCAAACAAACTTACAAACAAACAAGCAAACAAACAAACGAAGCGAATTATATATGGGGTGATTATATATGGGGTGATTATATTAGGTTGTCCGGAAAGGAATGCGCGTTCGAGCTTAAAAAATTTTTTATTATAAAAACGAAATTAAACAAGATAAATTCAAAAGACAATCTCCATTAGTATCAATGACTTGTTGTCAACATTTATGCAAAAAATGGATTCCTCTTCTGAAGAACTCGACCGGCTGCGACTCAAAGAAGTTGGACACCCAGAGTTGGACCTTTTTCGCGGTTTGTGAATTTTCTCTCGGCCAGGGAGTTCTGCATCGACCGGAACAGATGGTAATCGATGGTGCCAGGTCTGATCTGTGTGGCGGATGAGGCAGGACTTTCCAGCCCAATTCCTCAATTTTTTTCTAGAGTGATTTTCGCCACATGTGGATGAGCGTTGTCGTGGATAAATTTTGTCGACGTCGTTTCGACACTTTGAAGACGCAGTGCTGGATCCATGCGGTTCAACTGGTGTTTGCAGATGTCCGCCGTAACCGTCTGACCCGATTCCGGAACTTCAAAGTACATCAAACCTTTGCTATTCCACCAAACACGGAGCATCACCTTTTTGCCGCGTATATCAGGTTTCGGAGTCCGTTTTGGAGGGTCACTGGAGTCTAACCACTGTCCTTTTCTCGTTGCGTTATCGAAGCAGACCCTTTTCTATATAATAGAGTCGAAAAAACCGCTGTTCTTGGAGCGACGAAGAAGAATTCCGGCCATTGCCACTCGTGTTGCCTTGTTTGCGTCGCTCAGCTGGTGCGGCACCCGCTCTTCCCAACTTTTTTTTCCCCAAAAAAAGCAAAGTAGACATGGACAAAAATATATCAAAAGAAGCACAATAAAAATCTCTTTCTAATAGACAAAACTGTCTCCAAAAATCTTCTATAGTAGGAGAGAAAAAAATGGACAAGTTCAAAAAATTCAACGCGCATTCCTTTCCGGACAACCTAATAGAATAGACGAAGCGAATTATATATATGGGGTGATCGGGGAAATGGCTGGACTCGATTGAGGTCAAAGGCATAAGGCACGATTATTTAGTACTCTATCTAAATTGGTAGCAGCAGGGGTGTTACATAGTGGGGAAAATGGCGAAAAAGCGCAGTGAAACAGTCAAAAACCTGCAAAAAGGGTTTGTTTTAGCCGATTCAGAAAACAGTTCCGGACGAGTTACCCAGTGGCGTCGTGCCAGTAACCGGTACGGTAGATACGGCTGCATGTATGTACTCATATATCCATGCAGCACCGCAGCCGCTTCATATCAACCCCTTCGCTTCATATTGTACTTCGCAAATGAAGCGATACGAGCATCAGCATTGGTCGGACATTTGTGGGCGGGCGGGCGCGATGGGCGCAAGGGTCAGGTATGTTGCAGCTTGATAGGACGCTACAAGGGTACCTTCCTTGGAAAAGGCACTACGCAGCGCCTGCTCAGAGGCGCTGAATTCTGTCCTGCTATTCGTGTTAATCATAGACGTCTTGAGAATTTATCGTGCCACTTGCCTCTGAATGGGTTCAGCGCTACGTTGTCTAGTTTGGTCACTCACGATGGGATTCCAGACCACTGCTCTCTTTCAAGGTTGTGAGAACTTTAGAAGTCTAGAAATAGGATGGATACCTACATAACAGATGAATGTCACCTTTCTCATTAGTGGCTGGCGGTCTTAAACCGTTTTGCTAAGCCCTTATAAACTGGTTTTGTGTATTACAAATTGATGAGCGTAGATTGTGTCGTCGATAATTGCGGGTTCCCGTTGGTTGGTTGTAGTCGGCAGGGTATGGAGGTCACATTGCACTGAGCAACTCGTTGACCGGTTCAGTTTATCTTCGATGAAACGGATCCTACGCAAAGGCATTGATCATCACCGACGTGATGGAATGACAAAAAACATACCCAGTTCTTCACTTATCAACTCGGCAGTGTGAAACGATTTCACAAGAGGTGCGAAGAACAAAACAGTCCGGCGCAGTGAAATTTACCTTGACATCAAAGAACTTTTCGGCGTTCACCCGACCTATGAGGTGACTGAGTAACTGGAAATTGGTCTTAGA